TTTGTTGAACTATTTGAGATTTTGCCAAGACGGTCCTCCACCATTATATGTTGGACGATGGAATGATTGGTGTAGCAGCTATCGCCATGGATGTATTCGAGCAGTTCGAATGGTCGGATGGTATAGTTTTTGTTTGGTTGTTGACTTTCTGATTAAAACTCAAGCACCGCTTGTCGTGACCGGCCCAAGTTTTCCAGCGTCGGCCACGGCTACACGAATTAGCGATGCAGCTCCCACGGGTGCGGCTGCTTCCAATGCTGCTGCTGCTTTAGTTGCTGCTGCTGCTGTTCCTTCTGCTGGTCCGTTTTCTCTAAAATTCGTAAAAAGACGGACCAGCAGCCGCAGCCGTGGGAGTTGAATCGCTAGTTCGTGTAGGCATGGCCGGAAACCTCGGTCAGGTCAAGATACCGCTGTTAGCTGTTCTTTGTCTGGGGGCAAATGTGGATGCGACTGCTGTCGCGGGTGTAACGATTTTGAGAATCCATGGCGAGACTTGGTGGAGATTCACGGTTGTTTTGAAAATAATTTGACTAGGAGTGGCAACATAAATAACATTTTGACACATGCGCACTGCGCAGGCGCAGAAAAAAATCAGTGTTGCCAGTAACTTTAAAGATCATTAAAATTGTAACCATGGGTGCCAAACAACGCCAATGACTGCACCCGGGTGTGCCCAAGTTTGATTTTGGTACACTGTGTAGAGTGACCAACCCCTTGGATGAACCTTCTATCCCAAGTAACATTGCAGGTTTTATCGCGGTGTATAGCATTCTACAATTCTAAATCATGGTCTTCAGAACCCTCATAAAACCAAAATTGTTACTTGGGATGGCTACCCTGTAGGCACCATATTTTAGAGCTAGCCCTAGAAAGTGTCTTCTATACCATCATGGGGCCGACAAGCGGACCTGACATTATTATATTCAAGCAATTTCAAAGCCACTGGAAGTCAATAGATAAGGAATAATACAAAGTTCCGCTGACATCCGAATTACCACATTTTTTGAGAAATCGCATAACTCAAATTGCAAGCTTCGCGGAACACAACATGATTGTGAGTATTTTATCATAACTCATATATACTGATATTTCGTAGCTTGGACAGGCGAGGGATGATTACCATGAGTTTCTGGAACTTACAATCATTTTTTTGGGCAAAGTTCCTCCAAGAAGAATTTTTTTCCTTGCACCTGGACCTGTGCAGACTGCGCGCTGGATGGCACGGGCTATCTACAGTCTAAAGATGTATCTCTTCAGGGCGCAGTTTCATCTCCACAAAGACCCGGCCGGATTGCGCTTTCATAGTTGGAGTGTATGTGGAAGCGTGGTTTTCCGCACCCTTCGCTGCATCTGCTCATCACAGTGATCTCAAGTTTATAGCGGATCTTAAGGAATTCGAAAGTTTCAATCTAGATGCTGCTGGTGCTGCGCAAAGAAAATTTTCAGGCCATTTCTGGTATCTAAGTGAAGAACTAATTGATCTCTCTGTGTTTGACACTGGCTTATCTTCCGAAGAACGAGAGAAGCTTGTCCAATCCATTCGAACAAGGCAAGGCAATGATGATCCGACAAAGAAATGGAATATTCTTCTCACTGAGTGAGTGCAATTTCGCTGGACCAGCTGGCAACTACCAATACTGTGGAATTTTTTAGAGTATTGGGGATTGATATCAGCTTCTTCCAGTAAGTGAATGGAGTACTAATAAGGAATACCAAAAAGGAGAAGAAATCGTTACTCGGCTTCAAGTGGTAAACGAGCACGCAGAGAGAGAGAGAGCAATCAAATTGATGCAGGATTATAACAGAAATGTGACAAAAAAGAAAAAGACTTCCAGAATCTGCTGTTAAATGTGGAAGATTTGCGAATAACTTCCAAATAAACAAAAAAACAACACTACAAAACTTTGTTAATAAGTAAAATAAATTAATTGGATTGCCTTCATTACTTTGCTTTAATCCACTTTTGAAATAACGACTATATTGAACCAAAACACATTAAATGGAAAACATATCGCTTAAAACCTACAAAAAATTAATTATTATGCATATACACTATGTTTTGAAAAAGTTGCTTACACCAAATGAGATCAATCTGACGTTCCATGATCTGTTTGAGGAATACCCACAAACGATGTATTTTTACCTATAACGCATACACTACGGAAGCGTGCTTGACGAGCCACACTGGCAACAAAGGGAAGCGACAGCACACCAAGCCGGAAAATTAAACCTCCGCCCCCTGGGAAGTGATCAGAACTTGAATTCTAAAACTGGTCGTGCGACACTGTACATTTCATCAGCTATAGCACTGTGAAATGATCAATCCATTGGCGGCAACATTGTACTGTTGCTTCCACAGTTCACCACATCTAGAAGACTTGTTCCGGTAAGAGACGAGAAATCAAACAAAACTAACTCTGGATTTAGCGAGATAGCCAATCAACATAGGAATGCAACGAATTGACGGTAACTAGGTAAACTAGTAAAGGAACTTACTAGTGTCACTTCACGGTGAAAACGAAATGAAGTGATCACTTGTCACTCACGGTGAAGTGATTGCCGTATAAAGCAAATGGGAATCACTTCACCGTGAGTGATAAGTTGTCATTTCATCGGTAATAAGGGCGAATATTTTATTTTTAGAACCACGCTTAGACACAACCGGACATGTTCCGAAAGTTCCCGAAAAAGTGGTCAGATCTTGAAAAGTGTCAACACCGGGCATGCAACATAGCAAACTGCTACTCCATTGGCTACCTCGTCAACAACATTCGACCATATTCAGGCTTGTTCTGGAAACCCCTGGGGGGGGGGACAGAACTTGAATTGTACGAAATTGGATCAGGTGAGATTTTAAACTGCATCAGTATTCAATGACTATGATTAAATATTTTCACCAATATATGATTAATTGAATGCTGGTGCAGTTTGATGTGTCGCATGACTGATTTTGGAGCTCTTCATCTTCTGGACACTTCTCTGGGGCCATCCGCATTAAATATGGAACATGTCGTGATGCTGGGATTACCTATAGGGGAGAACAGTACATAACGCACCCCCGGGGTAAGACGCACTTTTTCATTTTATTTTGAGTTTTTCTTGGAATTTTTAATCCAATTCTAGGATTTATCATGCAGGATTTTGAGTTCAGATGCTATGCTAGAAGTGCTGCTCGATAAGACAACAAAAAAGTTACGTAAAAGCCATGAAAAACACAAATGAAAGTCAGCTGGTGCGTTCTACCCAGGGGGTGCGTTGTATACCATTCTCCCCTACCTAACACATAACTGATCATTTGGATTAACCTAGACTGAGAAAGCCATGAAAAATAAATCTCCCCACATACCAGTCGAACAACCTAATAAAAGTGGTTATAAAGACTCAATATTTCCACCAATGCATTTTTCATTGAACTGTGATGCTTGGTTGTTTTGGTACTTTCGAAGTTTTGGCCACTTACCCAGGGGTACCATAAACCTACTAAAGTATTTTCAAGGCAACTCAAAAGGATTTAATTAACAATACCTTTCAAAATCATGAAGTTTAATACCTACATTGAAAGCGCTGAGGAAAAACATACTATACTATACTTTTTCGGAACAAATTCCACGCAAATTGTCATTACATAGGTGTCTATGGACTGATTTATTATCTTCGACCTGACCCTAATTTTTGAGGAAAATGTAATAGGGGAATTTACGTATTTTCGTCAATCTAAGCAGCGTCCGAACTTCTATTAGCGATTTTTCAGCGTCACACACATACATGACAGGTTTGTTTGTTGACATTTATCTGCTGCTTGCTGTTCTACCAATTCCAATCGACAGAATTGATCAAAACGGGTTGAACATGTTTTTACAACGCTCTAAACTTCTCAGGTGAGAGTGACTATTGTCGGCAGTCTCTTTTTCTTCGGCACCCTTTCCATTTGCGTGTTAACCAGCTGTTCTATTATCGGCAACTCGAAATCAGCCGTATTTTGTAGTATGTATATTTCATTTAAAGAAAAATATGGTATAACAGGAATTGACAGTCGTAAAAATGTAATCAGATTGAAGCTGAAAAGGTAAGGAATCGGCTTAATACATTCAGCGAAGAGTTTTGATGGGAAAATACAGTGAAATAAACGTTTCAATTTCGGTTGCCGAAAACAGTCAATGGGTGCCGAAGCCATAATTTACCCTACCTATTTCATGCTTTCAATCTACATACAACTCAAAATTATGAGAAACAGAAAAATTGCACAATTTGCATAATCTCAGCTCCCACGCCGAACTATTGAACATCACCCTTTATTCTTGATTAAATTAAGTACTGAAGGATGGATCGGTCGTCCAGAGCCGTGGTAAGAGAAATACCTGTAAACTGCAAAATTTGAATTCTCAAACATCTCATTTTTTTTCTTTGAAAACCAACTTTCGTCGCATCCCTTGTCTTCCACACATTTTGAGGAATTCCCTCAAACCTGTTATTTTGTCACATGAAATCATCACATTTAGCTGCGAACTCCAACTAGGAAGCGATTGCGTTGAAACATGCATGGTAACAGCGAATGAAAATTGATCGATTCAATGCGATTAGTGGTTTCTGCGAATAACGGAGTTTGTGTTTGCCGCAACAGTACGTGGTAGTATCTCGTAAGGATTACGAGAACGGAGCAACTTAATTCCTGTTGTGTAGCAAATTTTACATGTAAAGTACTGTTGACTTAGAGCATTGTGTTTTCTATTCGTCAGATGAACAGATGAAACGGTAAAGTTACAGAATGGTGATTCACAAATTCACATAGCAAAGACTTTATGTTTATGCATAACTCACCTTTCCATTTAGCTTTGCTTGTTGGAATTCAACCTGTATTAAGTAATTATATAAAAATATGTACCCCAAGCTAAGACGAGCTTTGCTCAGTTCGTATTAAAAGGTTCTTGGGAAGTCTCACAATATCTCAATATATTGGGTAAATATCTTTTGTTGTGCAAATGTGTTTCTTAAAAGCTACGAAAAATGGTACTTTATTTCAATTTATCAATTATCCAATCTAGATAGTGAGAAACTTTGGTATACACACCGGGTGTTCTTAGCTCACCACATGATTGCTGTCCCCATGCAACAATTCCGTGAATAATGATCGATTGCCTTCCGAAATACTGCAGGGGCCCACCGGAATCCCCTTTGCAGTTGTCCGCATCATCGCTACCACCTCCGGCGCAAACTTGGCTTTCATGCACCGTGGCGGCATCAGTCAGATGTGTAAGAGATCGTCTGCATTGATTTGGCTCAACAATTGGTACGTTGGCATAACGCAATTCTTTGGATCTTCCGTTCCCGTGTTCGGTGAAGCCCCAACCGGATACTATCATTTTTTTAGGTAATGTCTTTGGCAAAATCTCCGGTAATGGAAGGCAAATAGGCCGCACATCTGTAAAGTGAAAAAAAAAATGATAAATTTTTCTGCTTTAAAAACGGATTTAGTACTTACTGTCATTAAACTGTGCTGGTCTGGCGAGCTTGACCAAAGCAATGTCATTTATTTTTCCACTGGGGCTGTAGAGTTCATGCTTGATGAACTTAGCCACTTGGATATCCTGATACGGATCAGCACAGTCTTCCTCACCCTCAGCGTTATTGCAATCTATCTCTTTGGATAGGTCCGTTTCTCCAACACGCACAAATCTATAAAGGTATTTGATCGACGATAAGAAAAGCAATGATGAACAAGTTAGGTCTACATACTCTGTAAATCGGCTGCAGTGGGCCGCTGTAAGGACAAAACTCTCTGCTATCAGGCTACCTCCACAATGGAACTTTCCTTCTATATCTCCGAGCAATGTCATCCAAGGAAATTGAAACACCTCGGCTATCTGTCCATGAGCGATGCGTTGCTGGCTGCTTTTACCGCATATGTTAAGGTTTAACAGGTCACGACCTGATTTACCACCCGGAGGTTTCGAATTCCAAACGTTGATTCTGGACACCTGTTTCGGTTTGCAGCAGAACTTGTAGATCTGCAATATGAAGGCAATTTAAGCTATGAAATGACCTGCTTACAAAGAGTATACACTAGCATGGGTCAAGATGGCATGGTTGCTTATAGTGGATTAGGTCCACATTCAGGGTTGCTTCCACTCACTTGCTATAAAAAAATATATATTTAGGAATTATGCAATCATTAGATGTTATAATGTTATTTTGTACTAGTAAGTAACAAGAAGAGGGTGAAAGGTATGTGTTTGACTCATAAAACCTGTCAATTTCGCTTTCAGAGCGTCACAATAAGCGATCTTAAGTAAAATCGCAGATTGTGACGCACTGAAAGCAATATTGACAGATTTTATGTGTCAAACATATATTTCATGACTTCTTCTTGTAACTTACAAGTACTAATTAGCATTATACTATATCATGATTTCATAATTCCAAAAAAACATGTTTTTATAGCAAGTGAGTGGAAGTAACCCTGTCCGCATTAGCTGTGCCAAATTTCAACAAGTTAGTAGGGAACCATGTATGGGAAAGGAAATATTCTCGTAATATCTACATATAGCTCAATTATGATCATACACTGAGGCTAATAAACTTAAGAATTCCATAAGAACCACACCACCACCACATTTTTCGTCGAAAGGATTTATTATGGAAATCAGGGTTGCTTCTACTCACTTGCTATAAAAAAAACATATGTTCCGGAATTATGCAATCATTAGATGATATAATGATATGTTGTTCTTGTAAGTAACGAGGAGAGGGTTAAAGTATGTGTTTGACTCATGAAACCTGTCAATTTCGCTTTCAGAGCGACACAATAAGCGATCTTATGATTCGTGAGCGTTCACTCAGAGTGAGCACTCACGAGTCGTAAAATCGCTGAAGCAATATTGACAGATTTTAAATGTCAAACACATACTTTACGTCCTCATCTTCTAACTTACAAGTACTAACTATCACTATACCATCTCATGATTTCATAATTCTGAAAAACATTTTTATATAGCAAGTGAATGGAAGTAACCATTGGAAATCATAAGTTTGACCTATGAAACATAATTCATAAGTCAAAATCAAGGTTGCTGATCATCGCAAAGAAGCTTCACTCGCTACGTTTGTTCTTTGCAACTGCGTAGTAGCAGCAGTGAAAATACGATTCAACCGTCTAGCCCGATCGGTTATGCGAATGGAGTCATTCGGATCATTCCGTCTCTTCCATCTTCCTCGTCATTCGCTGAGTTACCACTGATATAGATCAGTGCACGGTCCCTAACCTCACTTTTTGCTCCCTATCATTTTGCTTCTGAGTAAAAGAGATAGCAACGAATGGGAGCCAAAACAAACCACCCAAAACTGTCAAAACTTACGGGTGAGAGAAGAGTGCGGCAAATCTTCGTGAACTGATCAATACATTTACCCAAGCGTCACTCACTCTCAAGTTTGTAGCTGCGCGATTCAGAGAAGCATTCTTCGGGAACGATTCTGTTCGGTAGCGAATCACCTAATTTTACATTCTTCATGAAGAATATGTGCTGTTTATTCTTCATGAACGGGTAAGTATAGGAACAAAAAAAAAGCTTTGGTGGCTGCCAGTATCGAAAGGCGCGCTTGATTTGATATGACGCTATTTAATACAGGAATCCCCAGAAGAGTGCTTTTTCTTGACAGTCCTCAAACCATTCGCACTGATTTTTTGTAGATGACTTGTTAATGATCGACTCTGAACTCAAACAAAAAATCAGCTTGGTTGGTTAGAAGGCAGCTGAGAAATAACGGCAACACTCTTCGGGGGATGACTTTATATGAAACCGAGCAATTGAATTATGCAACATGAAACAGATTTATGCGGAATCATACCAACCACCGTGTATATGGCGGGATCCCTGTAATGTTAAATAGCTGCAATTAATATTCTTGTGTCAATCAGAAAGGAACCTGGAACATATAAAAAGTTTTAAGGTCAATTCACATATGCACGGGAAAACGGGAACGGAACGGGATTTGCGTTGATAAGAGAGAGAAAAAGCGCCCGTCCCCGTTTCACAGTTCATATATGAATATACCATTAATCGGATTTAATTGGAAGTTGAAGAGCGTTCAAACTAATTTGTGAGCCAGTTGATTTTTAGCCAAACATATTACCGTAACGTCACCATTCACCGCTCATGCTCCATTCACCACTCATTGCATACGTATTATCATTATGTATATCCAACTACAACAAATATCAATAGCTTTAAGTGGCGCCAGTGGTGTAGTGGTAAGCGTGACTGCCTCTCACTTCAAAGGGCCTGGGTTCAATCTCAGTCGGCACCGTCGGTATTTTCTGAGGGATAACATCTCGGAAGGTAAGTAAAGCCGTTGGTCCCCGGTCCATGAGTTTGATGGGTCGATAGGTAGGGTCAAAGTGAGGGAGCTGCCTCCCTGGCGTCGGTAGCATTGATACTTAATACGGAAAATATATCGACGGAAAACAAATCAAATTGAAAAAAAAAACAATAGAACAATAACAATAGCATAATTACAAAAACAATAGCATAATTACACAATTACAATTACAACAGTATCATTAAACATCATTTGCTATAGTGTGCAAGTTACGAGAAGAATAATAAAAAGAATTATACAATGTGTGGTGAAAGGAGACACGTGAGCGATGGATGGCAACCTTACGGTATATTGGAAAAATTTTTTCACTTTTTTTTTTTTTTTATCTAGTTCGTTTATTTGGGAGGCTCAATCGCGTTAGCTTTACGGAGCCGATAATTCATTGTTCACTGTGTGTAACAAAATTCACTTAATTCTATGTCTAGTAGGAGTTGGGCCGATTACTCGCGGCTTACTCGAGGTTAGAAGGGTACATTTTCGAAGGATAGGATCAGGGGAGGAGCTTGGGGTAGGGTTTCGTTGTCTCATCAGAGCGTTGTCGCCAGTATGAACGGTAGTGCTGTTCTAGCTTCGTCCGGAGTTCGACCGGCTATGGTGGGTGACCAGTGGGCGACGATGAGACTCATCGAGACGGGGGGACAAGACAAACAAAAACTAATAAAGAGTGACAAAAGACAAAAGGAATTAAATTCTTATACTAGACATTTGAAGAAAAACATAAACGGACTGCATATAGCAGAGATCACGGGTTGCCAACACGTCTCTGATAGGAACATAGGGTTGTCTTCCTTGGGCCTCGAGGGTATTCAAAAGTCGCTCTCTGGCGGCGTCATTATCCGTACATTGCCAAACTGCGTGTTCGATGTCATCGTAACCGTTTCCACACCGACAGATGTTGCTGTCCACGAGGTTTATTCTATTGAGATGAGCATCTAGCGAGTAGTGGTTGGACATAAGTCTACTCATCACGCGAATGAAGTCACGACTTAAGCCCAAGCCTTTAAACCACGCTCTCGAAGAAACATTAGGAATAATTGAATGTAACCACCGTCCAAGATTTCCAGTGTCCCAATCGGTTTGCCAACTCGAAAAGGTACTCTGACGCACTAAATGGTAAAATTCATCGTGTGAAATTTGCCTGTCATACAATTCGCCTTCCTGCGCGCCCACCTTTGCGAGAGAGTCCGCCTTCTCATTGCCTGGGATTGAGCAATGTGAGGGGACCCATACAAAGGTAATCATATATGATCTTTCGACCAGCACACACATCTGCTCCCTTACCTTTGAAAGGAAATAAGATGAGTGCCTACCTTGTTTCATCGACCGAATAGCCTCAATCGAACTGAGACTATCCGAGAAGATGAAGTAATGGTCTGTGGGCATATTGGAAATCATCCCCAATGCGAAGTTGATTGCTGCCAGCTCAGCAACAAAAACGGAACAAGGTTCCTGAAGTTTGCGGAAGGCGCTAGAGTTTTCATTGAAGACACCGAAGCCAGTGGATCCATTGAGACGGGACCCGTCTGTAAAATATCTTTTCATGCAATTGACTTGTTGGTACTTTTCAGTAAAAATACGTGGGATAATAATAGGTCGAAGTTGATCGGGAATCCCATGAGTTGCTTGTTTCATGGTCAGATCATATTCAATTGAGGAACTGCGATTGGTGAAGTGAACACGGTCTGGAGTATAACAAGGAAGACACATATCTGATGATATGTAGTGGTGGTAGATTCTCATAAATCGAGATTGTGTGTTCAACCCAAGAATTTCTTCAAAATTAGCAATTATAAGTGTGTTCGTCACTCCGCATTTGATTAGTATTCTGAGAGAGAGCTCCCAGAAACGGTTCTGGAGGGGTGTTACTCCTGCCAGAACCTCGAGACTCATGTTATGCGTTGAGTGCATACAGCCTAGAGCAATACGCAGACAACGATATTGAATTCGTTCCAATTTTATAAGGTGACTTTTTCTTGCCGAGAGAAAGCAGAAAGAGCCGTACTCTAGAACAGAGAGAATAGTTGTTTTATAAAGCGTTATGAGGTCTCCCGGATGAGCACCCCACCATGTGCCGCAAATTGAACGGAGAAAGTTGATCCTCTGCTGACATTTTTGCTTCAAATACGTAATATGGGTATTCCAAGTGCATTTTGAATCAAACCAGACCCCAAGGTACTTGAAAGACAATGATTGGGTAATGTTTCTGCCCAAAAGATTAAGCTGCATTTGGGCTGGGTACCGCTTTCGAGTAAACACTACCAGTTCAGTTTTCTGCGGCGAGAATTCGATCCCTAGATTCATAGCCCAAGAAGACAAGTTATCTAAGGAATTTTGCAATGGTCCTTGCAAGTCCACGGCATGTGGACCTCTTACGGAAACCACACCGTCATCTGCAAGTTGTCTTAGCGTGCATTGTTCTGCCAAACAGTTGTCGATATCTTTGACGTAAAAGTTATAAAGAAGAGGGCTGAGACATGAGCCTTGGGGCAGGCCCATGTAGCTAATTCTGGAAGTTGTCAGTTGTCCAAGGGAAAAGTTCATTTGCTTTTCTGACAACAAATTGTACAAGAAATTATTTAAAATTCCAGAAAGTCCACATCTGTGCAGATTGTCTGACAGAATTTCAATGGAAACTGAATCAAAAGCCCCCTTAATGTCCAAGAATACTGAAGCCAATTGCTCCTTGTGTGCAAAGGCCAGTTGAATATCTGTGGAAAGCAGCGCTAGACAATCGTTTGTTCCTTTGCTCTTGCGGAACCCAAACTGTGTATTTGATAGCAAGTTATTTGATTCGACCCAGTGATCGAGTCTCCGAAGGATCATTTTCTCCAACAATTTCCTAATGCACGAAAGCATAGCAATCGGACGGTATGAGTTATGGTCAGACGCTGATTTGCCAGGTTTTTTAATGGCTATTACTTTGACCTGTCTCCATTCAGGCGGTACAATGTTGTTTTCTAGCAAGGAATTGAATAAATCTAGCAAGCGTCTTTTAGCGATATCTGGGAGATTTTTCAGAAGATTGAATTTAATCATATCGCTTCCCGGTGAGGAGTTGTTCGATGAAAGAAGAGCCATAGAGAAATCCAGCATTGAGAATGGTCTATCCAGAGAGCCGCCGCTAGGAGACGCTTCTCGAAGAATATTTTGTGCTGGAACTGAGTCCGGACAGACCTTTTTAGCGAAATCGAATATCCATCGGTTGGAGTATTCTTCACTCTCATTGAAAGATGAGCGGTTACGCATGTTGCGAGCCACCCTCCACAAGGTGTTCATTGAGGTTTCTCGTGAGAGTCCCTCGACGAAATTGCGCCAATAACCGCGTTTTTTTGCTTTGATTAATTGTTTCAGCTTTGTCTCAAGCTTTGAATATTCCTCGAAGTAAGTGGAGGTTTTGTGTCTACGAAAAGCTTTGAAAGCATCAGATTTTTCTACATACAATTTTGTGCATTCTTCGTCCCAACCAGGTGTGGCTGGTCTCCTTTTAAAGGGTGCACTTGGAACTTTTCTTTTTTGTGCTTCCAGTGAGCTTTTGTAAATCAAATCGGCTAGGAATCGATATTCTTCCAATGGTGGAAGCGCATCTATTGATTCGACACCGATTGTCACCGCCGTTGCATATTTCTGCCAGTCGATGTTCCTTGTAAGATCAAATGGAACCCGAGATGGTTCTGCAGAGTGAGGGCCACACTTTATTGAAATGATGATTGGCAAATGATCGCTACCATGGGGATCATTGATAACCTTCCACTGACAATCCAATGATAGCGATCTTGAACACAAAGATAGGTCGAGTCGGCTTTCTCGAGCCGGAGGTTTTGCTATACGTGTCGCTTCACCAGTGTTCAAAATAGTCAAATTGAAATCGTCACATAAATCGTAAAAAATAGCCGCTCTATTGTCGTCATATAGATCGCCCCACCCAGTACCATGGGAGTTCATATCACCCAGAATTAATACTGGGGATGGAAGAATCGAAACTAGATTCCAGAGTTGACTACGGCTAATGGAGGTTCTTGGTGGAACGTATACTGAAGCTATGCAAAGATCTTTGTTCTTCACATTTATTTGGCAAGCAACGATTTCGACGCCGGATAGAGCAGGAAGGGAAATTTTGTAGAAAGGGTAGCACTTTTTGATCCCTAAAAGTACTCCTCCATAAGAATCGTCTCTATCCAGGCGTATAATGTTAAAATCGTGGAAGTTGAGTTCTTTATCGGATGAAAGCCATGTTTCACAGAGAGCAAATATATCACAATCAGAATTGTGAAGTAAAAATTTGAACGAGTCTAGTTTAGGCACTAGACTACGGCAGTTCCACTGTAGCACAGTGATCATATCTTCAACCTCGTTCGACGAATTATCCATCGAAAGATATGATTGATGCAAGGAGGGGCCATGAAACAGTCAATTGCTTAAGATATGATTCTAACGTTGGAAGCAAGGCAGAAACTAAGCTTCTTAGAGGGTCTTGTATGTTGAACATGTTTAATATGAATTCCACAATGTCCGAAAAAGCTAGCAAACCTCGTTCGGACTTGGATTTCTTTTGAGAAGTTTGAGGAGCAGCTTTTTTATTTTTTTTATCTTTGTTGGGCAATGGCGGAAAATTCTTGCTGCATCCAGGGATTGGATCAACAGGAGCCTTCGGTTTTGTTTTTTCATCCCCATTACCCTGGGAATTTGGCAATCGTCTGGAGGTGACTTTAGTTTTCTTACGGCGCACTTTCGGGGAGGGGCATTTTCTTTTTGAGGAACCGTCTATTTTTGAAGGTGCGTGTACCACCGTAGAATCACCTTCATCCGATGAGTCAGAGTCCGATTCTTCAGCTGACAAAATCGAAAATTGGTTTGCATCTTGGACGGCTGATGCAGCCTTCACCATTTGCGCATAAGTCTGCTTGGAGCGTCCAGAGATTGAACGCTGCACTTTATCGGAGTGCTGCTTGTACATCGGGCACTCCTGCAAGGGGTGAGGATTCTCGCCACAGTAAGCGCATTTTACTGATTCTTTGTGGCAAGAATCCTCTTTGTGGTTTTCACCACATTTGCCACAACGAGTTTTGTTGCCGCAATGGCTGGCCGAGTGTCCCAGCCTTTTGCAGTTGGTACAATTATATACCCTCTGTACAAACAACCGCACCGGAAAAAAAGCACCATCAATTTTAACAAAGTTTGGGAGAACTGAACCTGCGAAAGTCACCCGGAACGAGTCTGAATGTTTATAAACTTTTTTACCGTCTAGCAAAGATGCTGAATGCAGTTGCCTTACATCCAGTATCTTCACTAGCGCGGTAGCGAATGTCGAGTTTTTAAAAGTTCCCGAGGCATGTTTCAAGTCCTCGACAGTCAGACTCGCGTCGGAGACCACGCCTTCTATCTCCACATCTCGAGAAGGGATGTAGATGTTGTACTCAACACTAAACAACTCGTGATCAGCAATTTTATTTGCCACATCATAAGTCGGTGCTTCTACACGCAGTTTGTTGAATCTTTCTTTGTGTACCAAGATTCCCGGATACTTACGCAGCAAATCTCTCGTTATGTCGAGAGTTTTCAAAGGTTTATTTTTGGGCCGAAAAAAGACAACCCATGGTCCTTTCGAAGACGGTTCATAGTATCTGGTTCGCGTAACGTAGGCATCGGAGGATGCCATAAGTGTTGCGCAAAAGCGGTGCGCAACCACTTAAGAAGGAAAAAAAAATAAAACCTTCACTAATTAATTAATTTTAATTACTAGTAATTAATTTTTTTGCCCGACGTACGAACAAATCAAAAAGAAAAAAAAAAAAATCGAAACAAAAAAAAAACTTATATCTACTTGCAAAAAGTTGTCTCACTATGACCCATACTCCCCTACCAGGGGTGAGAGACAGAGTCACGCGCCACGAGGCAAAATTAAACTACAATAGGGAGGCAATGGACTTGCAAAATGTATTGTCTAATACTTATGCCGGTTGTAAACAACCTATCAGCCGTTGCAGCTAGATGGTCCGTTTGCTGCTGCTGGTGGTGATGATTGGTGTTGGTTGGTCGGCACGATGATGGAAAAAATGGCTTGACGACCGGATGGATTACCGGGGTGGATTAAAGCTGGATGGCAACTCCAAGGGGCTCGGCCCATGGAATTCCACTTCCTCTGTTGCACACTGGTCACTTGGGGCACCCAATGGGGGGGGTGAAAAAACCGCTCGGGCGGAAAAAACACCGAAAAAAATTAGATGCCGCGCGACTGAGACCGGGACGTTGTTAACCGACTGAGTGTTCAACTAGGAATGTTTTTTTTTCACTTTTTGGTACTGCTTACTCATTTGTAAATATTTAGTAAACCCGCCGCAACTTTATATTCTGTAAGTCGATATCGAGCTATTGAACCATAGTAAAACCATAGAGGTAACTCTAAGACCAGAAGGTCCCGAAGAAACGTGCTCAACTTTTTGGCTCAGCTCTGGTACTCTCTTCGGTCCCAAGCTAATCGATGCACCCCTCGAAACATAGGAAAATTCACGAACCCCTCATTTTATCTGTCAAACTTTCATAACAAATCAAAACAAACATAGTGTAGTACTAGAATTTTTACAGGAATTGGGTACGTTAATCGATGTACTTGGGATCGATAGGCTAGTCCAGTGTGAGCCAATTTAAAATCGTTAGTTTCCACCGGTTGGTAAAACGATTTTCATGACTACTACAGCGCTCTTCTAAATTGATTAACTATAACACCATGGTCTCTTTAACCTTCGAAACAAGGCGTCTTTCATGCGAACGCTTGCATCGGCGAATGTTACATATAATTTCGAGGTTATTCTAGTCCTCTCTAACGGAGGAGGTTTAAGATGATTACAATGAGATTTCAGATGTTTCCAACGAAAAAGGTTCCACACAACTTCGGAAGATTGCAGGCGTTCCTGTAAAAGGGGCAGCAATAGATTTCGAGAAGATTTCAAACGTTTCTGACGGAGAAGGTTCTAGGTGATTTCAACGAGATCTTAAAGATCCTGACGAATGAATTTCCAAACGATTTTGAAAAAAATCAGATGGTCCTAGCAAAGGAGGTGCTATAGGATTTCAAGAGACAGCTTGGTTTCAGACAGAAGAAGTTTCCAGCAGTTTTGAAGAAGATTTTGATTATGTTGCGTTTTTTTTTTCATTTGCATGTGTTTAATAACTGTTAGATACTCAATTCTGCTTTTACGCGATTTTTGTGACTCTATTATTGATCTCGTGTGATCTCAATTTTCTACCAAGTTTTATGCAACTTGTTTCAAAAAAGTCATACAAAAAACAGATGGTATTATCAATGCTGTACTCACACTGCATAAGGGCAAAATAAAAAAAAAACCGAGTAAAAACAAAATTGAGTGTATATTCAATGGTAATTTGTCAATTTATTTTATTTCGGTTGAAAATGTACTATTTCTGCGTTCTGTGATTTTCTGTTATTCGATTAACAAGATCAAAGCTATGGAAGTAGAATTAATGGGAAATAAAACAATATAATAAAAAAAATCTTCAAAACCAAGCAAATTAGTTCAATTCTGCTTCTAATACATCAATCACCTTCGGCAACAGGGAATCATTCGCTTTCAGCAACATGACATCCATAATAGTTTTACCCTTTACACGCGTTCTAGAATCAGTTATAACGAGTTTCAATTGACTGAAGAGCCTTTCGACGGTTACTTGCGTCGATGGTATGGAAAGCAATCCGATACATTCCAGCGTTCGTGAATTTTCGTTGCTTCCAATATCGAATGATATAGAATCGCTCTGGAACTTTTTCACTGCCACTTGAGGACGCCACTGACTCCTTGTTAACTCCGTGGTGCTCTGAGGAAGCTGTTATTGTTATTTTAGGACGAGTTTCGAGTTTTATCACTTCTGACAAGAACGTGTCAGATGCTGTATTGCCGGACGATGAATGTCATGTCATTTTGCCCTCTTCGTGGGAATCTGCTGCTCGTTTTCACTCACACTACTTGCTGCCCGTACAACTCTACGGTTGCTCTCGACAAAACCCAACCGACGAGCCACATCCGGATGGGCTGACATAAAATGCTTTTTAAAATTTGCTGGTACAAGCGTTGCCTGTTCATAAGCACATCTTCTATTTGAATCAATTTCGGCCAGACACATGTGTTTTACAATACCTCCTGCTTCGGAAACCTCTTCCACCACTCCACTAATTTTTTTTGTTTTAATGTTTCCCGACTCATCATGGCGAGTAAATTCAACTTTTCTCGTTCGCGACGAATGATGAACTAAACGCATCTTCATGAAGATCAAAGCAAGTGAAGAAGACTGAAGAACAGCGAAGAACGCTCGAGTCGATCACGCCACTCCGCTGCTCATGAAGCGAACGAGAAAGAGCCGAAGAGCACAAAGCATGAAGACTTGCGTTTTGCATCGACACTCATATTCCTCTCACACAGCCCACTCACCACGACTTGTTTT